GAAAAACCCATAAAACAGCAAACGGCCACATAATGCAAAACTATTTAAAATTAAAACGGAACAGTAGAGAAAATCCGATCAGAATGACAAAATAAACTAAGCATCCACTGGAAGGAATCGCAATATCTGCAGACGGATCCGTTTCGGCCTTCCATGCCTCATCAGTGCAGCTAGGGTATAGGCCCAAACGAAACGTTATATATATATATAATAGCCTAATTCTGAATGAAAAGAAAACTCGAGAGATCATATTAGATTTCAGGAAGAATTCATTTCCTCTTGAACCACTTTATATATCAATAGTTCTGTGATTGAAACCGTAAACAGTTACAAATATCTGGTGTCATCATCATTGACAATGAATTTTCGTACATAACTCGCACAGGTTGTTGTTCGCATAAGTGGATCTTTTCCGCTCGAACTAGCATCCGCTCGAAGTAAATTATGCGCGAATCCGCTCGAACTGACTGGTTCCCGGTGTGAATAGACCGAAAAGAGGGAAGAAAGTCTCTTGGCCCTATAAATAAGTAAAATGGACCTTCAACCTGGCTTAGGAGGTTTAGGCCTAAGTGATGATGAGTCTGTACTAGAAATTGAGATAAATAGTCTACCAGATGAGATATTGACTCTTATTTTAGTATTAGTCCCTGATGAGTGTATCAAACATTGTGGCCTGGTGTGTTGTCGATGGTCAGAAATTGTCGTAGCAACCACCTTTTGGAAAGAGAAATGTTTACGGAAGGGCTACATTTTATCAAGTCTTATAGCATCGTATGCACCCAATAACTGGAAGGAGTTTTACTATTTGAAACCATACTCTAGAAACTTAATTCAAAATCCAAGCGGCAAAGGTATTATTATATTATAATCTTTCATACCATTTATTTAGTTACTGCAGGCTAGGCCCAGCCTACTACTACAGTACGGGATCCAGTCAAGTCGTCCCCCTTGTAAAGTCGCCCCTTACAAAGTCGACTGACATTCAAGTAGTAGGCCTACTACTACTAGGCCTCTTGCTTTATATAAAAATGACTAGTAGTAGTACTATAGTAGACCCCTGGCTAGATAAGCCCTAGTGTACGCCTAGGCCATTCCCCTACATAAGCGACTGTACTTTTTTATTTTTTTTTTTAGAATGATCAGCCTTTGATTATTCATTTACTCAGATTAGGCCTATATATGGTTCAAATAAATAAGTTATGTTTAATTAACTTTCTAATATATTGTTATTAATTAAGAGAATTTATTAATAAATAAATAATTGTTAATATTAATAATCAAGGTTTAATATTAATCATTGAAAATTATGTAGGGAAGACTTAAATGGTACTCAGATATGGTACAAATAAATGAATAAGTTAATACTATTAAATTATTTTTTTTTAAAGTAAATATTGTTATTAAGATAATTTATTATTAATAAATAAATAATTGCTGATAATTACTATCCAGGTTATTAATTATTGAAAATATGTACAGTATTAAATTTGGCTTCCAAAACTAACTGATGATTTGTTCACTCAGTATGGTACAAATAATGAATAAGTTATTACTATTAAATTATTATTTTTTTAAATAGTTATTGTTATTAATTAAGAGAATTTTTTTATTAATAAATAATTGTTAATAATTACTATCCAGGTTAATTATTATTGAATATTACGTATTATGAATTATGTTAGGTGGGCTAAAATATGCCTTATTTGCCAGGGGTTTAGATATGACCACTTGATGTGTTGGGCTTCAGCACATGTCATTTCTAGTCACGCCCTCTCATCATATATTTATATAGGCCTATATTGTGACAAATTTTTAATAAATGAATAAATAATTGATATCACTGTCAATACTATATAATATCATTAGATGGCCTTGAGAAAAATTGGACAATCAGGCGTAATGGCGGTGATGAGTGGAAAGTTGAAGATAAGACCATTGGTGCAAAAGATAAACCAGAAGAACTGTTAACAGTGAACGAGGGCAGCACAGAAAACTTTGCCACCTCTTACGGATGGTGTGAAATGGATCAGGTTATTGACTTGGAAAAGGAAGGCTGCTCTCTTAAACTTATCGATGACCATCAACCTGAAATATATGTATCAGAATGGTAAGCAAACTTAATCTCTGTCTAGATTATCAAATTGTCTTTGACAAAAACATGTTTTATGCCCATATATAATCATGATTTGGATATTCTGTTCCCTCCACTCCGGAAGGAGCAGTGGTTCCATGAGATGCGATGCATGCTTACAATCATATAGCAATCATCCATACATTCAAACGAGTTGTGGGAATATTCTACGCAAATATCTACAAAATACGATGAGTAATAAAATCATCCATCAAAAAATAGATTTTATTTTATTTTTTTGATTTTATTAATAAGGATAATGCTAGTGATTACACCTTGGCTTCTGCGGATGCCGGAGGTAGTAAAAATATCAACAGTAGGGGAACAATGATCCCATGAGGACCCATATAGTGAATCTAGCTCAGATAAGTTCAGATTTTGTGCATTCATCGTCCACATTCTCTACTATTCAAGACCGAATACAAGCCAGGCCCGAAAACGATGGGTCTGATGTTATTTTATATGCACATGTTGTGATGTCATCATGACCATATTTAGGCATGTCACATGTTTTTGTCAAATCAAATTTGACAGTCAGGACAGGGCTTTAGTACAACAATGACAACATATTCAAGGATTCACATATTTGGTCTGAAATATTTTCAAATTTAACATCGTTTCATATGATAGAATTGTGACTGTGGAATGAAGTGAGCATTACCTGACAGAATACCAAGAACCATGAATCTTGTCAAACCTCAGCCAGCCAAAGGTTTTGCTCTTAACATTTAATTCTTGTTTATATCCAATCCTCAATTTCAACATGGTCCCATATAGTCAGTAGGGATTTTCTGGTTTTGCCTCAATTTTTGATCAAACCCCCTCTCCATCAAAAACCATTAAAATAATGAAAAAAATCCGTTTACATGGTGCTTTAGGACTTTATTACCAACTCCACAAGAGCCTTGTCTGTGAACCCCAGAATGCCTGACCATTAACATAGGAAATGAGATCTCCTTAAAGAAACACTGGTTATGGGACTTTCAACATCAGAGCTCCTCTTCCTACATTCCGTTTTGCACTTGGTACCCCACCTCTTTCCCAAATAAGCGATGCAAAATTGATATTTTCCGGATTGTGTTTGTAGGTATACAGAACGGTTTGACTGTGGGTGTTACTATGAGTTGCAGGTACAACTTTTTGCTGCACTCTCTGATAAGGATCCAATAGAAGAGCATCACTTTGCTTCTGGACTCATCCCTCAGTGGTCAGACAATGAGTGGAAACAGGTAATTAAAATATATTCAATTAATCAGCTGCTTGAACAACAATAAGAAAAAAAGGTGAAACAAATCATGCACTAATGCAAAATTAGTGCACAATTTGGGATAGGAAAATAACATTGGGAGTTACAATGAGAATGTCACCACTAACTTATAATGGGCTATAATCCACATAGAAAATTCCAATACAGTACTATGTTAATGTACTGTATACAGTACACAAGGCAGCATCTATAAATACACTACATACAACTTCAGTATTATTACAGTACCCCTACCAAAAGCAGAGGTCTGAAGTTGGAAGAAGTCACTTTCCAGAACTCTGGTTAAATAAGCTTTCTTAACACATTTACAGTAATTTGATTTTGTTGTGGCAACAGAAATATGGCGACAGAGGGTCTAACATGATCGACGGAGTGGACCGAACCAAGGGGCTGACTGGAGCCTCTGTCGACGACCTGGAATTTGTATTGCTTATTATGGTCTAAATTGTGCTTTTAGACCACAATAGGGATTAGCCATCAAAATAACTGTATTTGCATAAGCAAATTATTAGTTTTTAAATTTTTGATCCGATGACCTAGTTGCTGCGTCAGACGACAGGGGATCCAGACCTGTCCAACGGGAGGGAATTCCCCCCGCTGGCGCCACCACTGCATGCGCGGTGATACCATTGCCAACAATTGATAATATTGTAGTATTGTATTGTCAACATGCAAAAATAAATTTGCAGGAGATGGGTTAGTTTTTATGTAGTTTTTCCTTGCTTGTGGAAGTGAGTGGGGACTCTGATTTCCAGCAGACTAATGGGAGACTTCGAAATCCTGACACAATTCCATTTTTTTTTTGTAGGTAGAGCATACATTCAAGAACTATGGAAAAGGTGTTCGATTTATCCGTTTCATACATCGAGGAAAAGATTCACAATTCTGGGCTGGTCATTATGGTAGTAAGATGGCAGGAGCGCAGGTTAGAATCCTCATCGACAGACCCAGCAATGTACAATGAAGCCGTCCGTTGGTCTGTGCTGGATGGAAGGGATGGAGGGTGGGGGTAGGTACGTTTCAGAAGTACCAATAATGCTTAAAACCTCATTTAAATAAAATTAACCAGGTTAAATACCAAAATGGATTGTTTCCACAGAGGTATTAAACAAGCATTGATGCAATCAAAGAAAACCTGTAGTATAATGTTATTCATTCAAAATATGTTGTTTATAGATGCAATTATCAAATATCCAGTTTTGTAAAATTATGGTGTAGTTAGAGATATATATAGATGTTAAATATAATATAAGATTTATATGTCTTGTATTGTATTTATTTTTAAATTAGTCTGAATATAAAAAATCAAGAATAAAACCACTAAAGTGGAAACAGTAACTTGTTTTCTATCGTGGTCTATAAATATTACATTACTGTATTATTATTGTTTAAATTGGGTGTAGAAGATGGTGTGCTATAACCATCTGGTTGCAGATATAATACAATTCCGTAGTTCCAAATTCTTTAAATTTCAATGACAAATATTTATCAAGGCAATAATATTAAAAATGGAGTAAAGAGGGTTAAACTAGACAAGAGCAGGCTAATTTTAACCTATTGCCAATGCTCTATTTGCATTCATTTTATAATAAAAGTTGAAAAAGAGGTGTATCACAGAAGTCCTCTCACTGACATTTTGCAGAGCAACACTCAAGTTTACATACAGTAGTTAAAAATTACCTCATTTCTGTGGCTCTCCAATGGCTTCCACACTATATCAACACCTATAGATATGCCACTGGTATGGTAGGTATACAATAAAACGGACATGGGTAGGCCTCCTCCATTAATAGAGTGTTTTCGATTGCACAACGAAAAGCTTAGAGAAACACCACTAGGCACACCTACTCTAGCATTGTTTACAAGAGTGTGGCTTTTTCTTAGTGTAGCTCACTGTATCTAGTGGTGTAGGGTATAAGCATGGGGAGGAGTAGACTAATGGGGATAATGGATTAAGTGGGGCGTTGATATGATGCGATGTCTAACCATTTGTGGTACCAGCAGTCTCGGGGGAATGTATTCTGTTGAAAACACTGCTTTGAAAACTTAAGTCTGAAAGTGCAGTTTCCAGGAATGTAGAGGTACCTATGTTAAAAATTTGCTTACCTCAACCCCAACCACTGATGAGTGGATATTTTTGTTGTAGGAAAATTTGTAGTGGCAGTGTTGGGGAACATGGAGTGCAAGTTTGTTTGTTTGGTTTTTTTTTTTCAAAATTCTAAAATAAAATGGAGTAGAAAAGAAAAATATAAATATATGTCTGAGAGTACCATTCCCGACTATATGTGCCATAATCATAAATTAGTGCCTCAGCCCCAGCCATGGTGGGGTTGACCTGGTATTTTCCCCTATCTGTGAACATTTTTCCCTCACCCTTTCTATTTCGAATTCACCGCCATACAAGACTTGGGTGGGGCTTACATAGAAAAAAAAATGGAAGTACACAATTTATGTCGCCGTCCCCACTGTCTGTAAAAGTTTTTCCCTCGCCCCCTTCTATTTCTAATTCACCGCTATACAAGAAAATTGGTGGGGCTGACACAGAGGAAAAAAATGGGAGCACACTCACAATATGTCTAGTCTCAACAGATTGTAACTGTCCCCCCAGCTTAAAAAGGTTAAATACCCAGGCTCAAGATGACCGGAAATGACACTTACATACAGTAGTAAAATTCATCATCATCACATCACCACTATATAATAAAAATGAAGCGCCAACAAATTTCTCATGATCTTTTATCAGCAATTTTCGGCAGCCACGGATCTAATTAATAGGTGTGATGTACCATAGAAAATGGTGATAATTATGTAGGCCTACTTTGCCTATTTCCAAGACGTCCAAACCCATTTCACTCAGCCCCACCATAGTTGGGGCTGAGGTGAGAAAATTTTTATGAAAATAGTACAGTACTTCTATAGATTACCGGAAATGACACTCAGTAAAATTCATCATCGTCGATCTAATTAATCGCTGTGATGTACTGTTAAGCATAGAAAAAAAAAACACTTTGTCTTTGATGTATTTAACTTTACCTCACTTTATGTGGCGAAAACAAATCTTATCTCACACGCTTTTTTAATACGTCTGAAGTTATAGGTCTAATAAAGGCACACAAACACTTGTCTTGTATTATAGGTAATTCAGATGTTTGTGGGGAGAGATACCGTTACCTTGCTATAACACTATAACATAAGATGTACTCTGGCTATAATAGGCCAGTCCTCTTGTTAAAACCTGGGTCATTTATGCAATTTTTAGGCATTTTCTTGACATGAATTACATTGCGGACGAAAAGTGAGAGGGACCAACCACCCTATAAAAATATGTGTGGGACGTGTCCCCTCCCCCCCCCCACCATGATCTGTGCCCATGTTTGTATTGATGACGAGTACAGTACAGTAATTGCAAATCACCGCGTGACTGCTTGATAGAAATATATAGTCTACAGTATTGTATATAAGATCTAAAGTGACTATAGAAGTGAGCCCCCATCATGTGGTTGAAAATGTAGCGTAGGGGCCTATATAATGTCATGATAGGCCTTGCTTTATGTTTTAATTTGTACGATTCATACTGAAAGAAAGCTACAAAAATGAAGCGTCTTTAGATTAAATTTTCAAAAAAACAAAGCAATTGTTTTAATTTTAATAAATGAAGAGCAGAGCCACACAGCGCAGTCTTTTGAATAACCTTGTAGTTATGAAACTGAGATTACAGCAAACTTTTCCACTGCTGCAGAGTACAGTACTGTATGCAGCAGATATTAGATACGGCCTGCATAAAACAAACATTGGATAGCTCATTTAAAAGTATCAAATGTGTTATTAACTTCCAGTATAAAACTCAGATCAAACCTGGTAAGTTTTCCACTGATTTACATACACTTTACTTCAAAAATGCATACCATGGGCGGCGGAACCGGCTTCATTTCCCTCCCACTTTTTGGCAGAAAATATATACCGGTAATGTCTATGGAGATTTTTGTATGATCGGAAAAAAATGCAAGTAAAGAAAGAGGGAAGGAGAAGGAGAGGGAGGGGAAAGAGAGTGTTTATCGAGTCCCCGACCGAGTTAGATTATCTTGCAATTCATATGGCGGATCTAAGAGATCATGGGTCCTCACCCCCATCCCCCCTCCCTTGGGCAAAAAAAAAAAAAAGAAAAGAATTCTAGACCCACCTTTTTAGAACCCATGAACTGATTTTTTTAAAATTTTGTTACAATAAAAAAATTCAATTCAATTTTTAATAATGTGTTTTTTAAATGCCTTTTTATTTCTTCCATTTTTATCATTTTAATTTGTTTATTATATCTGGTGCTGTGCTTTTTATCTATTGTTTCTTTTTATGTTTGTGTTGTGAATTTCTTGAATTTTTGTGTTTTGTTTTAAAATTTGTAAGTAATTATTGTAATACACTTATATACAGTCTTTTGACTGTCTGTTTGCAATTTTTAATTTATATTTTATCTGAAAAAAGAATAAAGCCCTTGAATACAAAATTAGAAGTCGGGAAAGCTCATTTCCCGCCATCTAGGAATCAACATTTTCTCTGGTGAGGACCCCCGACCCCCTTTTATTTTTGTGGTTCATCGATTCATGGAAAAAAGAATAGGCTTACGTATGCAAATTATTTATCCCGGTACACTCATAGGCCTAATTGGCCTATTTACTATAATAAGAATTTAAAAAAATTACCTGACCGTTTTCAAGGGGGAACATTTTGAATTTTGAAGAACTTGAAAATCATTAAGAGACACTTCAGAAATCGGCAAAGCTCATTTCCCGCCATTTAGAAATAACATTTTCCCGGGGAGAACCCGAACCCGCCTTTTTCTTTGGGGTTCATTGATTCATGGAATCGTTCTCAAGAGTGGGGGATGGACCTTTAATTTTGAAGAACTTAAAAGTCATTAAAGGACACCTCAGAAGTCGGGAAAGCTCATTTCCCGCCATCTGGGAATCAAAATTTTCCCGGACCCACTTTCTTTTTGGGATTTATCGATTCATGGAAAAAAGAATACGTATGAAACTATTTAATTTTGTGTATGTATGTATACACACATAAAATAAGAATGGGAAAAATTCACATGACAGTTTTCAAGAGAGGAAACCTTGAATTTTGAATAACTTAACTAAAAGACATTTCAAAAGTCGGGAAAGCTTATTTAGAAAGTCATCTAGAAATCGAGATTTTCCCGAGTGTAACCCTAACCCTAACCCTTTCTCTTTGGGGTTCATCGATTCATGGAATCGTTTTCAATAGGGGAAAACATTGAATTTTGAAGAACTTAAAAGTCATTAAAGAAACCTCAGAATTCGGGAAAGCTCATTTCCCCACATTCAGGAATCAAAATTTTCACGGGGAGGATCTAATAAGAATACTTATGCAATCATTCAATCTTTTTATGATACACACATTTACCTGACCGTTTTCAAGGAGGAAAATCTTGAATTTTGAACTAATTAAAAGTCATTAAAAGACACGTCAGAAGTTCATTTTCCGCCATCTAGGAATAAAAATTTTCCAGGGGGAGAACCCCCGAGGGCCCCTTTCTCTTTGAAGTTTATTCATGGGAAAAAGAACACGTATGCAACTACTCATTTTTTTCATGTATGTATACACGCATAACAGGCCTATTTACTGTAATAAGAATGAGAAAGTTTGCCTAACCATTTTCAAGGGGTGGAAAACCTTGAATTTTGAAAAACTTTAAAGTCCTTAGGTCATTAAAAGACAAATAGCTCAAAGTCGGTAAAGCTTATTTCCCGCCATCTAGGAATAAAAAATTTTCCCGGGGGAGGAACCCCGGACTCCCTTCCTTTTTGGGGTTGTTGGAAAAAATTGTGCCCCCACCCTCTAAATTTGAACCTATTCATATTCCCATTCATCTTACTTGTGCCCCCCCCCCCCACTTTGTGATTACCACCTAATAAAGTTTGTGCAAAAGAACATAATTGACAGGGAAAACAGAGGGGGATCCAGTAGGGGTCACGTGCCCTCCCCCGTTTTGCCACTAAATTTTAAACTTTCAATGCATAGGCCTATATTGAAATTAGCGCTCCCACTTAGCCTATCTATTCTGAATATATTGTGCCCCCTGTTTGAAAAATTCTGGATCCGCACCTGGAAAATATTTTTTCTCGTTCTAATTTTCCAATTGAAAAACTTAAAGCCAATAATCAGCCTACTTAATACCATAATTAAGGACAAAATACTAGTGAGATAATCTCACGAGTAATTTGACCACCACCTGCGAAGTCATGCCTATAATAAAAATTACACGAATAGTGCAGATGCGTAGGCAGATATATTACACCTTCGACCAGATGATAATACCTTACTGTAGACTTACATAAAAAGTTCCTTTAATTCATGCACGGTGTTAAAT